GGCATTCACCACTGCCACACATTCCAATGGATTTTGACTATAAGGCATTTTAGAAGTCCCACAGTCAATGCTTCTCCCCGAACCCAGCAGCTGTTGGAAAGATGATCAGACCTTGAATTCATGAGCTTTTTATCATTTTTTCTAATGTTCCTAACAGCATGATTGGGAGATACTACCTGATTTACATTTTACTCAGATGGAGTGGATAGGAGTTAGCAGGTCAATGACAGTTTCCTCACCCCTCAAGTGGGATACCTCTGAGGCGGGTTCTCCACTCTCTCCCAGAGGTTCTAGCCATGTAAGCCCCAGGTACCCACAGTGGTAACCTGCTCATTATTGCATCTGTACTGGCTGCTTTGCCTCCCTATCTCAATTCTCCAACCCCCTACAAGTATTTTCTTAAACCACCTCCTAAACTACTTGTACTTTCTCCCATGGGATCTGCTTCTGGGGAACCCAACCTAAAACACTATGTTCCAGGACAGTGCCAGGAACACAGAATTCTGAGACTGACTAGCAGCATGGCCCTACACTGGGGCTCCACATTGCAGCTGTCAGCACAGTTCTCAGGAGTCTTAATAACAGGATTACCTCTCTCTAGATGCTTACACAGGAGGCCCTGAGGAGCAACTGTTTACAGCGACATGTTTCTTGCCTGGGAGGTGCCAAGTAAATTGCGGGTCTACACATCTCTCTGGATCAGCATCAGCAAGCTGTTCCTGCACTTGTGGCATGGCAGCTTGCCACTGGGAACTCTACTGGGGGTAGGTGTGCAGAGAATGGTAAGGCACGCTCATTTCCACTGAAATGCAAATCATTTTTTTCCATTGGTTCTGGATAAAATACAGATCAGGCGGCATCTCCCAATCATGCTGTTAGGAGCAACGATAAAAAGCTCACAAATTCAGGATACCCAATAACCTTGCTAAAGGTGCCTCCTGCATCCACGTGTGTATTATAGTTACTCAGCAGAAGCAGCTGAGCCTCTGAGAGGCTCAGAGTACAGAATCTAATGTCCAGACATGTTATCTTCCAGTCCTGGCAGCCAATGGGAGTGCAGCCTTCACCAATGACTTCAGTTTCACCACTGTAAGCAGGGATTGCGGTACCTTCTTCACAGGTTGCTTGCTTTGTTCTTCTCCTTTGAGGATTAAAAAGGGACCAGCCTATATGTGGTAACTTTTCAATGTCTGTTAAACCTGAATCTTTAATAACAGGAAACAGAGGCACCCTTAGTGTTCTATTATGTTCCTTCTGTCATTATGCATAAAAGTTGCCTTTAATTCCAGCTGTTACAATACTCAGGCTGATTTGTTCCCTGCCAGTGATGAATCCCCGATCCCATCACAGACAGAAATCTCCTGGGGCCCTCAAAGGGACACACTACAAATAAACTGTGGGAGGACAAGCTAATCCACCCCAGTTGAAAAACGTGGAGTGCCTTGAACTGAAGGGTGGCAATTGCTGTACAAAGTGTATTTGTTATGGAAAGAGCCCGCATAGCCTCTGAGTATTGGCCCCTAGAAGGTTTATTTCTTCAGTGCAGACTGAGATCCATTAGCTGAAAAAGGCTGCTGGTGCCAAACTCAAATTTTTACACATCCAATTACTTTTAAAACAGTCCAGACAAGTAGATTTTTAGCCATTTAGAGCCTGCTCACTTTGCATACCAAATCTCAACCAATAGCTGTTACCCATTGATAAGACAGGGCCTTGTATTTATAAGGCTTGGAGCCTCTCTGCTGCCCCTAAGTGCTCTCTGACCCAGAAGCTCCTCACTGTGCTGCTGAGGACATCACCTAGACACATAAGCCTCCTCTCCAATTCTCTTCCCCCTGCCCAGGAGGTCCCTTGCTCTCCTCCCGCTCTGGATGGTGGTCCACGAGGTCCGTCCCTCTGGACAATACCATGCTGTCAGGGGCTTTCCTTATCATGCAACCCTGCCCAAGTGCCACCCAATAAAGCTTGTGTGTTACTGCCTCTCATGGTCATATCTTTCCCTTGATCAGTTCAAAACCCTCAATCCCCCTACAGCATCCCATGGACCCGCAGCATCACTGGGAAGCTTACTAGAATTGGAGCATGCTTGGGCCCTGCCCCAAGATCTACTGAGCCAAACTCTGAACATTAAAAAATTTACCACATCTGTACACACTACATTAGAAAATTCGTGTGCATACAGCAGTTGGAAACATGCTGGCTAAGAGAATTCACTGGGGATCAGTGTGGTAGCCAAGCTCAGTGCGCTAAAGGGATTTATGTGAGAAAGATGTCAAACCTCATTGGGGCTGCTCTCAGGCCCTGTGAGTGTCCACTAATCTGTTTCCTTGACCCTTCCTTGCTTTTCTCAGAGTCTATTAAGTAGGCAGGTGTGGAACTGCAGACTGCGGAGCATGACCCCTTTACATGGGGACTAGGTTCCTTACTAGAAACCCTTATGCTGTGGGCCCTCCACACAGATGACCATCTGCATGGACACGCCCCTGCAGTGGGTGTGCAGATATGACCAGTCCCCTGCCCCCAGGTCCACATGCTCCACTCACACCGACACAGGCATCAGCAACACTTCTGAGTATTTATTCTTGGAAGTGGGGGCCAAAAAAGAAATCTTTTGGATTCCACCAAATCAAATAAAATGATCCCTTACAAAACACTGTGAGGGGCAGGTGCAGAGAGGCACAGACAGGAGCCAGGAGCAAAAGAATCCCTGCCACACAAAGCACATCATCCAGTGAGTGATTCTGAATGAGGTGCCTCCCTATCCCTCCCATGCCCTCCCCACCTCCACCCCCAAGCATCAAGGCTTGAGCCCCAGGGTACCATACAGGAGGGAACATCCTAATTATTATCCAGAAAAGCCTGGGTGAGACAAGTGCAATTTGCTTGTTCTTAATATATCTGCATTTAGGAAGTTATACAAGCTTACAAACTCTCCAAGTCTATCACACCTCTCTAGGACCTGAAAGTGGATGAAAACTGCTTTTTCAAATAAAAGATGTCATTAAGTCCATGCCATGAACTTCATCAATTTTCAGAATAGTAGCTCTCGTCCTTAGTCAGTTCTCATTTACTCTTACTTTGTACACAATCCTAAACATCCATGAGATTTGATTTCTCAGTCCATAAACAATTTAGAAATAAGCAGCAATTTAGAAATAACCCAGAGTGGGCTAGAATAAGGTTCTGGTAAGCAGCAATTATAGCACCACTAGCACCAAGAAGTAAAGAAGTACCTAAGAACAACAAGCCAGTAAAAAACAAGAAGTAACTAGAGACTATTAAAAGTACACATATAAACTCAAAAGCATCTATGGTAGGGACCCTGGGGAATGATTCTACACAATTCAGTATTTTCATAATAAATTCTTGGTCATCAATAATCACAAGTCCAATTATATTTAATTATATTTAATATTTTCAGTTTAAGAAAGACACTATTACTTTTATAAATACTTTTCTAATGAAACATTTTTTAAAAAATGTTAAGGTCTTGACATTTAGAGTTTAGTTTCAATTTCGTAGAAAATACATTAAATGGAATAGCCCATCCTTTCATGTGAACAGGTAAGTACGGCACTGCTTTACTAAATCAATTAAATTCTGATTTGCCTGGCACTGAAGCTTTTGGAATCTCTATTAATTGAGTCAACAGCTTCAGAATGGCAATTTAGCCAAAGTTAACTGGGCATCTACAATGTGCCAAGCACTGTATTAGGTGCTAAAAATACAAAGATGAAAAAGAATCTGGCCCTTCTCTAAGGGAGATAGAATTCCCAAATGCTTTCTGAATAATCAGGCAGGGGGCCATGATTTTATTCAGTATAGTGTTTGAGTCAGAGGGGCATTTTATGAAAGCTGGATTCCTTGTGAAATGACTTAATTATTTGTATTGGACACAGATGGGGATTCCCTAATATCCTGCACATTTAAATAGTTGTATTCACCTGGGGAGCCCCAGCTCAAAGGAAGTCATCCACAAAGCAATCAGAATGTCTTCTCATTTCTTAACCACAAGGAATAAACAGAATATCAAACTGTCTTTAACAACCTCCCCCAGACAAGAAAGAGAAAACAAATGAATTGAAGAATTTACTTACCCTAAAATTCCCCAGTGTAAATTGTTGGACAAACTGCAGAAAGGTAGATTCCCCTCATGCCCTACCTCTGCTGGGAGGCAGAGAACCAAGAGACTGTGGATGCCCTGAATGTGTCTCAGTTGTATCTTGCCTGATCACTTAAAGGGGCTAGCACAAATTGAGAAGAAGCATTTCAAGGAAGAGTAGATCAGGGACCTATGCCTCCAAGGAGCTTTGAGGGTATCCCTGCTACACAAGGTGAGTGCTGAATGGAGGCAGGTCTTCATAATTCTCTCTCTATGATCTGGATGTGACTTACACACACACACACACACACACATACACACACACACACACACACACCTATTGCATTCTAGCCACACTAAAACTTTAACTCATATTAGTAGAACTTGTAGCTGGAAGTGTCTGAGAGAACATGGAAAAACTGAGGCCCATAGAAGCAAAGGCCCTTCTCCAATCCATGGCTCTCTAGGGAACTACTTGAGATTTTTAGCTGCCTTCTGATTGGAAGGTTTGTACCAAAATTATATGTATTTTTTCCAAGTTGAGTTTCTTACCTCTCTCCCTATCAAGGTTCTTCTTTTGGCAAAGGAAGAGGGGGAGAGAAAGATGATATTGAGAGAGAGGGAATGAGAGAGGAATAAAAAGAGAGGCAAGGAATGAAGTGAAGGAGAGAAAGAGAGAGGAAAGAAAAAAGAGCCACTGAAGAAAATTGATGATTCAGTTTACTGCTTTTAGTCCTTGAAAAATATTACAGAGGGAGGCAGTGTCCAGTCAGCCTAGAGAAAATCCAAGTGGCAACAGCCTGGGACCCTGGCAGGTCTCCTTCCACATCCATCCTGAAGTCAGCCTTCCCCTCCCTCCCCACCCCCATCTCCTCCCACCCCCACCTCACCAACCTACCTTCACTGAAGACAAAATCGGAGATGATGTCAAAGGGCTGGATGTGAACTGCGGACAGGATCATGGTGACTGTCTTCTGCGGATCGCTTGAGGCTAGTGAAATGGTCTGCTGAGCTTGACACTCGTAGGACTTTCCAGCTGGGGTGACCAAGGCAGAGAGGTGATGCGAGTTGGCGGTGTGCTTCCCGGCTGCAAGGAAGGCCCAGAGCAATGGTTAAGCCCCTCTCCATGGCAGAACCCTGGCTGCTCCTAACCTTCCTTGCAGAGAGTTGGCTCTTGCCTCTCAGCTCCAGACCCTTCTCTGGTCCCCTGTGTGGCCAGGCAATGTTGCCCTGCCGGGGCTGAGTCTGTGCTTATGGTTTCAAGTGGTGTCGAAGCACAAATACACTCATTCCTTCATAAGCAAGGGCTCAAACGATTGATTTGGAATTTTTGGAAATTTGGGGATTTCTTTTTGGAAGAAGAGCATGATACCTAAAAACTCAACCCTTTTTATTCTATAAAACCAAACCAGTAGAGATTCCAAACACAGAGAACAGCGACTTGGTTTTCCACATTTCACACTGACCCGCCAAAAATAAAATACCTTCTTCAACAAAGCACGGCTGATTTCTGGAGCCCTGGGAAGATGAATGCCCTTGAGCACATCTATACACCTCTTGAGGCCTGCCTCCTCTCTCTCCTTTTCTGGCATACATTTGTTTGGGGATTTCACCCTTTTTCCTTTTATTTGTGTTGTGTGGTGGTGGTGGTGGGGTCTAATTTAACTAGGAAAATGCTTGAATATGCATTTTGATGAAGAGAAGAAAATGCTCTTTTTACTGTGATAAGAAAAAGGAGTGAAAAGGAAGAAATGACATGTATTCTTTCACGTGCTCAATAAACATCTTTTCTTAGGTGCTCAGGTGAGCAAAGGCCTCATTATGAGTAGGTTAGAAAATTTACAAAATAAATTTAAACGTGGCCTTTGATAGTACCTGCAAATGTGAACATTGTTATTTGGGGAATGGATGTTCTTCTTGCCACAATATTTTTGGGGAATCTGGGTGTTTTGTTAGAGTGATGGCCAGGAAAACCTAATAAATTAGGCCACGATACAGAATGCGCTCTGGGGTGACTGCAGTCGATGACTGAAGATGGCGTGGGAGCCCTGCTGCCTTGCACAAAAAGGTACTGAAGGCCACCGAATATTGACCGAAAGTAAAGTCGTGCTGCCCCCGTCAAGTTTCAGCGCGTGAGAAGAAAAATCGGGGTGCAGAAAAATAAAAATACAGCTTTGCCCTTCTCCGCGCTCCTCTAAAGGACAAATCATAAGTTGTCCTGGAGCAGCCAGGGGAAGACAGACCCTCAAGAGACGTCTGCTCCGGAATCAGGCCACGGGTGATCGGCTGGTCCTCCGCCCGGGGTTCCTTGTGCATCGTCAAGGCCTGCGGTCCAAGGGACCTATCTGCTCTCCCGCTTTCTCTGCCCTAGAGAGCAAGCCCGAGCGGATTTGGCCTGGGAGCACAAAGCCGGGATCGGTTTCCATAAAATTTCCGAATATCCTGAGGAATTCGGACTTCAGGCCTGCGCTCTCTGCAGCGTCAGCGCTTTCCCAGACTCCCTCCCAAGCCCTGCAGGCCTCTGCTCACCACTGACTGCGTCTTTAAAATGGGTCTTCTCCGTGGAGTCGTAGACAAATTGGACCTTGCTCAGCCTCCATGTCGCCTCGGGTCCCTTGGACGTGTTGTGGCTTTCCTGACAAGCGTGGGAGGCGCGCGTCAACCTCCTCCGCAGCTTCAAGGTGAAGAAACTGCGGGGCGGCCCCTGCCCACACCCGCCCCGGAGTCTGCGTCTCCTTTGCGCGGTGGGCTCAGAGTTACCTTTACAAACAGCAGCTTGAGCGCGTACGCGCGATCCACCCAGAACACCTGCAGCTCTGACTCGTTGTGGCCACAGCGGCCCTTCACCTCAGCTCCCCGGGTCAGTGAGATATCAGCCTGTTCGGTGATCAGCTGGGAACACAGACGCCCCGCAACCCCTCAGCGCGCCCGCCCCCGGTGGGGGCTGTAAAGGGAGGTGCGGCCAAAGTCCGGGTTGCACGCCTGGACGCTTCTTTGCGCGCGCGCTCCCAGGTCCGGGAACATGCGGTTAGATGCTCTACGTGCAGACCCCGCCGTTAGGGAAGCAGAGAGAGGGGGGTTACTTTCAAAGCAGGCAGGGCGAGCGGAAGGCGTTACAAGCCGGAACCCCCATGCAGCATTCGGGAGCAGCTTGCAAGGGGCGCAAGGGGGGAAGGAGGGCGACCCAGGTCTTCATAGGGCCTTGAGGGAGAGTGCCCTTCGCCCCTGGAGCCCCAGGAGCAAGCTGGGAGGAAAAAGGTTCCTTACATCGACATAATTGCTGGCCCATACATCATAAGGGACAATAAATTTGGCTGCAAACTCTGCCATGAGACATGTCGTCCCATTTTCCCGCACCACAAATATATCTTTTTCAGGGTTAGTGGAAAGGCCTGAGAGATTTTCCACTTCTTGTTCTGCCATGATTTGAGCCATTGTATCTGCGGGGGGAAAAATATCCTATCGGTTCTGGGCTCAGTGAGCCCACGCGTCTCTGGCACAAGGGTGAAGAAATAGTGGTCTGCGGGCTTGGGGTGACAAAGTTCTCTTCCCGAAGGCTGCTGTGCTCTCTGTGAGCCATTTCTCTAACCTAGCGCCAACAAATTCAACTTTTTGCTGTTAAATTTTAATACTAATAATTTTTTCTAAAATTTACCTAATATGTAGACTGACTGGCATTTTTCTTTATTTTAGTATTTTAAACCGAATCTTACCAATGCTCTAACCTCAAGAAGCAGGGCTGTATATCTGCCTGGGAGATGGCATACAGGTGTATGGCTCTCTGGGGAATTCCCCGCCACTGGCGAGAAGGCCCTCGCCCCACCCCTCACCCCCCAGAAAAGAAAAAATTTCGCAAAACATTAAGGGCCACATTTTGACCTTAGGCTACTGACTTTACTAAGCCGGTTCTGTTCTCTGAAAAGAGTGCACCCTGCCCTCGCGGTCGCCGAAACGCTACTCACGGAACAGCATCAGGAGAACTCGAAGTCTGGTGAAGCTGAGAATGTCTTTTCCGCGGAGATTCATGCTTGCCTAGCAGCGAATGAAGCCAGATGTGCTGCTGCAGAGGCCGCCGAAGAGGGAATCCCTCAAAGTCGCTGCCGGAGTGAGCCGTGGTGAGCGAGGGGCGGGGGAGCCGAGAGGGAGGTGGGAGGGAGCGCGTGTTCTGTGCGCGCTGGCGAGGACTTGGTGTTGGGTGCTGCACCGACCGATGCAGGCTTTACACGAATCTGCTCTGCTCACTGCAGAGGAATGGACCGCGCGGCTTGGGAGCTGTCCACGGCTGCGAGTGCTGAAAGGAATCGGTTGTGTTGCAGAAGTGAATGTGGCATGGCTTGTGCAGAGGGCCAATGAAATTTCGGGGGAGGGGGGTGCTAAAATCCTCCCTGAGTCTGTTTCCTGTTCAGCAATTGCATACACGAAGATGATCTGTCCTGAGAAACTTAATGGACTTATTCTATATCCCTCCTAAGAACAGTTATGTGGTGTAAATATCATCACCTAATAAAAATGCATCTGGCTCCTGAAAGAAAACAGCAGAGCACAAATTGTTGCTGCTTTGGGGGTGGAGGAGTAGGCAGGAATAAAGAAAAATGCTATGGCAACAGTTTCCTGCATTTGGTGATATCCCCTTTTCTCAATGAGCTCATCGGTTTAAAGTTAAATTGATGCCTTTTCAAATGAGGCCATCAGTCTGTCAATGCAGTATATCCATTTGGGCTTATTTTCTGTGAGTTCTGCTCTCTGGTTGCATGAGGACTTTGAAATCTGGGGTCACCTACCTACTCTCACTCATTATATTGTGACTACTCTGAGGATTGTGAGGCATATCTAGGGTCTCTTAGGACAGTAATGTGCATAGTTATGTACACACACAGTGATATTACTCCTCAGCCTCTAGTGGAACAGAAAAACAAATACTATTGAGCTAATTCTTATATTTACATTGTTGGAAGCTTTTCTTTATTTTTTTCCTCCACAAATCAGAATCAGAATGCAGCTATTTTAGAAATAAATATGCTGTTCTCATTAATGGTAGTGATGTCCAAATATTTAATTTCTTAGAGGATTTCATTATGCGAATAATCAGGAATAGGTCATAAAGCAATATCATATTAAGTGTCAAATTACAAAGTATTTTCATGTGCATTGTCAAATTCGATCCTCTCTACAACCTTAGAAGGCAGGCAAGGGAAGATACACCTTATTGTGGTTATACATACCCCAAAACTGAGGCTCAGAGAAATTAAATGACCTTCCCAAATGTCACATGGTCAGTTAGTATTAAAGCAGAAAAATTACGTTTTAACTTTGCAGAGATTGTCTTTATTTTTTCTTATATAATACTTTGACCCAAAATATACCATATTTTGATTTCCATAAAAATATTTAGTGATGAAATAACAAGCTGAAATCTAAATTTTATAACATTCCTGAAATGTACAGAATGCTTTTTAAGTATAATAATATATTGACATAATATTTGCTCCAAAGTATCTATATAATTACTCTTTCAAGCCTATTCCTGTATCAATAATTAGATCAATATTGTAGCTTTATTTTTATCTCCATATTTTGAGATTTAATCCAAACATTTCTCAAGAATTTTACATAAGTGATTATGTAAAGAAGAATTGAGGCAAAATTGTGATTGATATAAAGTTAATTATTACCAGTTTAGAGTGGAAGTTGTAAATTTTATATGCCTTACAACTTGTCATGTTAGCTATTGTTATTAGATCTATATTTCCTGTACTACTGTAAAAACTAGAAAACAATGAGACATATGTAATGAAGCATTTTTATTCTCTCTCTTTCTTCCTCTCTCTTCCTCCAATATTTTAATGAGGAAAGAAATGGATAGATTTCAGTCCAGGATTTTTGTGACCTTGTATAGATTTTAGTGTTTTTCATCTAAAAACTTGGGATAATAGCTCAAGGGAGGGCTGGATAGGCCAAGTGAGACAATGAATATAAAGTATTCAAAACAAAAGACAAATCAATTTAGTCCATAGACATTAATTGAATACCTACTACTTGCACTGTGTTTGCTGCTTTGGAAACCCAAATACAAACAAGTACCATTCTACGAGTAAGAGAAATATCTGTAAAAGATTATGACAGTTTCTCTTGTGATATATATTGCAGATATCCTCACTTTATAAGTTATTAAAAGATCAGTTGAATTAATTCATGATTATCTGCTTTAATAAAATATTAAATGGGAAGTAGCATTGGTCATTAATCTTAAATTATTATAGTTGATTTATAAATCATATGGTAGTTCATTTGAAAATGTTTTTTTTTATACCTGACATTAATGATCTCTGCTGACACAATAGAATGCTTGAAATAAAAAAGCAAGCAACATTAACCCCTTCTTCCTAGGAGGATCATCTTCAAACATAATTAATTTAATTCCCTTTTAAGTATTTAATCTTAAACATCTCTTACAAATACACATAAATTTATTCATTTTATCCTCAGTGATTTTTATGTTGCAATAGGAGTTGGATCATTATACCTACAAATTTCACCTATATCAGTTAAACAACATTTTAATTGTTCTTAAAAGGTATTTCAGTTATTTAAAGGTACCAAGGAGGCGATAAAGGAGCAAAACTTAACATCAAATCATATTTTAAAATAAATTTTAAAACATTTCCAGGATTTGCTTCATTCTCCATTTCTGGAGTGGGAGAAAAGGTAGGAGAAACTGACATGAACAGTTATAGTTTTGTGGATGATGGCTGTGTCAGTTTTTGTCATTGCTGCTAGTAGTCAATACAAAATGTCAGGGGTAAGTTTGACCAAGCATGTTGGCTTTGGAATGTCCTCTGGATCCTCTAAGTTCTTCAAAGGATTCTCTTCAATTCAGGTACTTACTTATTGTTAGCCTCTATGAATCTCATGCCACTGGATGATTGCTATTTTATATAAACAGAAAAAAACCCCTGTGAAAATAGTAAATCCAGTCTGGATGGAAGAAAATACATGAAGAT